GATTCGAGAGGGATGATTGCACTGTAAATAACAACGCTCCTGTAGGACACTCTTGCGGGACAATCTTGTGGGATACTCTTGTGGAACACTCTTGTGGGACACTTTTGCGAAACACTCTTGTGGGACGCTCTTGCGAAACACTCTTGTAGGACACTGTTGTGGGACACTCATGCGCGACACTCTCTCTTGTGGAACACTCTTGTAGGATACTCTTGCTTGACTTGTAGGTCACTCTTGTGGGACACTCTTGCCCGACGCTCTTGTGGGACGCTCTTGTAGGGCACCCTTGTCGAGCAATGTTGTGGGACAGTCTTGCGGAACATTCTTGTGGGACACTCTTGCGAAACACTCTTGTAGGACAAAGGTCACACGTCACAGTCTTCAAAACAAGCGTTTCGCTCGAGACCTCTTCAAAAGCTCACACTTCAAGTCTGTAAAACGAGCATTTAACTAGCGTTTCGTACGAGACTTCCTTCAAAAGTCACGAGTCAAGTTCTCCAAAACAAGCGTTTCGCGCGAGACTTCCTCCAACAGTCACACATCAACTCTCCAAAACGTGCATCTCGTACGAGACTTCTTCCTAAATTCATTCGTCAAGTCTCCGCATTTTCAAAACAAGCGCTTCGCACGAGACTTCTTCGTCACTTCATTCCACGCCGCACATAGCCTTTTCGGGGCTGCGCAAAAAATGGCGCCGCGTGAGACGACTGCATGTTGCTCTTCAATACACAGCTACAAGGCCACCTTACTCAAGCTACCTCCACTCTTCGGCAAGAGGGTTCAACATAGTAGCAAGGCCTGCATTCCCTGCCACCTAGCTTCCCACCTAACTCACAACCTGGGAGGAAGCCCTTGTTTCAGAGCCCCCGCGCCTATCCTCGAGCAGGAACTCCGTGAGCGCGTGGCGAAGCAGGAACTCGGTGAGCTCTCGGCGGCAGGCAGCGCTTTGCCCTTGATGAGCTCTCGGCGGCAGGCCGCAGCATCGTGTCCAGTTTACTCGCCAGCGTTTTGCCCGCTGCTCTGCCATCTGTGACTATGAGACACTCTCTCTCTCTCTCACTCTCTCTCTCTCTCTGTCTCTCTCTCTCTCTGCCGACAGCTTACTCTGCCGGCAGCTTGCATCTGAAGATCTCTCCTCTCGCCATCTGCCGCCCGCCGTCTCTCGCCGTCTTTCTTTGCAAATCTTCCGAGTCCTACTCTGCCGTCTTTCTCTGCCTTTATCTATCTTCTTGCCGTCTTTCTTTGCAACTGCCTCTATCTACCTTCTTGCCGTCTTTCTTTCTCTGCCTCTACCTATCTATCTTCTTGCCGTCTTTCTTGCCTGCCATCTTTCTTGCCTCTATCTATCTATCTTCTTGCCGTCTTTCTTGCCTCTACCTATCTATCTTCTTGCCGTCTCTCTTGCCTCTATCCGTCTCCTTGCCGTCTTTCTTTGCAACTCTTCTCAGCAGGCCTGCGTCTATCTATCTTCTTGCCGTCGTTCTTCGCAACTCTTCTCAGCCGGCCTTCCCGTCCCCTACTTCAGCAAGGCCCGCAGGAGAAGGAAGGTGTGAAGTGTCAGTCCAGCAAGTGAAACGAAGGCCCGTGTGACTTGGTCAATTGGGAGTGGATCAGGCCGCGGCCTCGAAGGGCTGTACCTAGCACACGTGCAAACCAACCGTGCCAGCTTCTCATGACAAGCCTACTTATCAACAACGATCAAAAAACAAGAGGCGCAAGCAAAACTTAAAGTCGAATCGAAACAGTTGCTCCCCCCTTCAACAGAGCCTGATCTCCTCGCAACCGTGATGCCCTGCCAGGCTCTAGCCCTCCACTGCAGACATCTCGGAAGAGGCATTCTCCCCCAAGCTCTCTTCACCCACTTGAGAAGGGTCTTCCTGACCGTAGCACTTCGTAGGCGTAGTAGTCTACACCCGGTCATTCATGGCACCGTCCAATCTGATGCAAGGCCTTGGTCTTTGACCGCCCGCAAATTGACACAACCAAGGTGCCTTTAACCAATTCGATGGGTGTTTCTTGTGACACCCACCTTGCTTCCTCAGGCTGCCCTGCATCACTTGCCTCCTGCCAGTCCAACTCATAATCCGGCTCGACAAAGACTGCCGGGCCCTCTTCCGCCTTCTTGCGCTTTTCGTTTCCCGATCCGGCCGGCCGGAAAGTGACCAGTCTCCAAAACCTCCTCTGGCACGCCTCGTCGTTGGGGGCCAGAGGTCGCAGGCGCTCCCACGCCCTTGCCAGAAGCTTCTCCTCCTGAAAAGGGTCAAGCACGCCAGGAGGTGACGTTTGTGGATCTGCTGCCGCCTCCGCAGCGACCCTCTGGTTCTCAATCTCCTCAGTCAGGCCACGCCATGCTCCTCAACCAAGATGCCATCGTCTGCGCCTCACTCCTCTCTGCCCATAGGACCCCCAAACCTTTGGGAACCAGTGCTGCCTTGCTACCGTTTTGCCAAGTCCGCACATCCTGTAGAGGGCCTGGCTATGCGCCACAGCGGCAAGATGGTTCGCCCGCTTCCGAAGGAAGCCTTGCTGATCTTCTGCGGGTAGCGGCAGGAGATAGTCGCGGCTCGCGTTGGAAGCACGGGCCCCAAGCTCACACCAAATCTTTTCCAGCCCGCGGCCAGCCATGTTTGGCATTTGATCCAAGCCCCACTTCCAGCGCAGAAGGGCTTCCGAAAGGACAACTTGCCGCCGCCCCCCGGCACAAACTCCCAAACTTCTCCTGAGAGACCTGCGTCCCCCACACTCATCTTGTCTGTTGGCACCAAGCTCGATCCATCTAGCTCCAGCATTGCCCACAGCTTCAGCAGCTTGCACCAAGCCAGTACTTTGTCTTCGAGCACCACCATCTCCTCCAAGGCCGCCACCAACGACACCGGCATACACACCACCGCCCCCTCACTCACATGGCCGCGCGCCGCCGGCGCTACACTGCTACGCACAATCTGTTGGAATAGAGCATCGCCGCTTTGCTGCTTCTCGGGGTGAACACCTGCGATCTTCTCCATGAACACGAACGTGGCCTGGATCTTCTCCAAGGCCGCGGCTGGCTAGGGGACCGAGGCCAGGTCACAACAGTTGTCCAAGTCTCTGCACGACATCTCAAATGCCGTGCACGAGAGTGCCAGAGAGAAGGATGCTTCAGGGCAAGCGTCGAGATGCTTGAAGACCTTGCAGGGAGAGCTGAACAGGTAGCTTGCCGAATGCGCAAGGACGAGTGGGCATGGCCATGAACCGGGAGCGTGAGCCCAAGAGGAGAAGAATGTGGAGTGGAGGGGAGGGGAGGGGAGGGGAGGGGAGGGGAGAGGGGAGGGGAGTGGAGTGGAGTGGAGTGGAGTGGACGGCGGCCAGCACTTCACTGGCGCACGCGCCTGGACCAACGCCTGCGCCAAGCAGGTGAGGACAAGCAGAAGAAGCAGGAGCAGGTGGAATCCGAAGAAAAGTCGCGGCGCATCAAGGTCTTGAGCAGACGGGGTGCCCCGCGTCCGGGTGCATTGTGGAGGACAGTTGGTGGAAGAAGGTGGCAGATAGCAACACGAAACAGCTCGGGGGGCAACGCCTAGCGGTCGCTACCATTACGTGACAAACTACGGCATGCTGCTACAAGTCTGCAAAACAAGCGTTTCGTACGAGACTTCCCCAAAAGTCACGCGTCAAAGTCTCCAAAGCGAGCGCTTCGCACGAGACTTCCTCCAAAAGTCACATGTCAAAGTCTCCAAAGCGAGACTTCCTCCAAAAGTCAAGCGGGAAGCCCACTCTCCAAACGCCAATCCCAATGTGACTGCGAAGAAAACTGCGGATCTTTTCATCCTCCACACTTCAACATCTCACGTTTCCACACGTTTCTTCGCTACCGCGCACGAATCTGCCACGTCGTGCTTCCATCAAAAAGCTTCGCCCAATCAACGCCAGCGCCATAGCGCTCCACCTGCGAACGGTTGCGGTCGGCGGCGGACGGTTGCGGTCGCTCAGACAACGAGTCGCGAACAAGGCTCTACCTCCAGACCCCCAGAGTTAAACGAGAACCCTTCGCTACGCATTCGCGAAAAAACTATTCTAAAAAACAACAATATGTATATATATATATAGTTGATTATAGTTGAATATAGCTGAGAAAAACTTCTGGGTCCCGTGCTGGCTACACGCGATGAGGCGACCAGTGTGTTCTGGTGGCTGTTTAGAGTCAGTTTAGAGGCTTGGAGACAAGACTAAGAAATGAGGAGCAATCTCAAACCAGTTGGCTGTCACATCTCGCGTGAAATGGTGTATATATACATATATATATATATATTATTACAAAGGCTACCATCCTTGCTGTAGTCGCTCATGTTGATTTCTGACCAGCACATTTGAGCCAAAGGCTATCCCGGCCTTTGTTGTTGTCAAAACTCGTTCAGGCACTTGCCCTGCAGGGATCCACATGTCCAAACAAACAAACTGATCGAAAATTTGAAATTGTCTTAACCGTCCCTTTTGCACAGCCAATTTGGTCGTGCACTTGGCTGGCTCTGACTGTTGCAGAACCAACTAGCAGCACTTTGCCCGGCGAAAGAGCTTGTTTGACATGTGAATTCGGGGGTGTTGGAAGCTATTTTGGAAGCCGCTGTTGGAAGCCGTATCTGCCAAAGCACCGCGCGCAACCTTCATTGGCTTTGGGTTGGCCAGGACAAACCGGGACGAATCAGCAACAGGCAAAATCCGTTTGCTTGGCATTCCATGGAAAACAATTTTGTGCATCTACCTCCAGCTGTTCAATAGGGAGCAAGTCCTTTGCCTTGTTGGAGCCGATTGTGTTTGCATGCCAAAAGGGACACAGACTTCAAGCACCTACCCTTTACACTGGAGCCCATACAAAGTGTTACAATTTGAAAAATACCAGGCATTTGCCATGATCATGATCCTGAAAAGAAGGGTGAGTTGTTGCGATGAAATTGATGATCGGGTTGATTGATGCTTTGCATTGTATACTAATGTTCAGCATTGTTCAGCATGACCTACTTGCTGCTTGCATCATGCATAAAGCCCTCGCGCTTTCTGCTGTCCCTGTCTGCCCCAGCGCCCTACAGTCGCCTTACTCGCTCTCACGGGTGCTGGGCGAGCTGTCGTAGCGGTCTTCGTCATAGGTATCCCACTGAGCGGCAAAGGAAAACATATTTTCCAATGTGGGGCAAGTATCTTGACACTACTAAGGCAAGGGTTTGCACCCCAGACAAAAGGGCTGTTAGGTCGTGGTATTGGGGGTGGGTGTACCTTTAGGCACACACCCCTGCGCGAACACATGCATCTCAGCCTCACAACCACATTCATGTGTCCAGCATACCAAACAAAGCACAATCAGCTACTGGCAATGCTTTTGGACTAAGTGTGGAATGTGAGGTCTGCAAGCCAGAGAAATGCACGCTAGGTCCTCTCCCAAAAAGCGAGTCTGCACAGCTTTACTGTAACTAATAGTTTCCACAAGGCCCAATGCAAAAATACATTGAATTCTACAATCTGCTTTGTTGTTCTCTTCGTGTCGTAGGAAGAAAACAGTAGCCCGTACTTGGAGGGGCTGACTGGTGGAATGTGAACGGCATCAATTTCTTAAAGGGTGGGGTCTAAGGCCCATGTGACGATACAATTGTTTCTTTGCGCATCGAAGGACAATTGTCACCAGAAAAAGCAGAACCGCAGTCAAAGCATAAGTCGCAATCTTAGTTATCCTTCTCAGACAACGTGATTCGACTCTGTGGCAATGCACCCTGTATGATGCACAAGCCCTTGACCCAAGCGGCACAAATTGACACGGAAGAAGTGGGACCCGTGCGCTTCACACGCGCATCACTGCTGCCCAAAGGTAATTAATGCTCACTGCACGACTATACCACGTCTGTGGCGGGGCCAGTCACGGCGGAGACCATGATTTCGCAAAAATACCATGCAGTCTGTGGCAATTCAACGTGGCCTTGAAGGCATCACAACATAATAGCACAGGTGGCCGCAGCTTGGAGCATGGTTATTAGTTAATAGGATCCCTTAGCTTTGCCGGATTCTATGCCCGGGTGCAGCTCTCTAGATGTTGGACGCTCAACCTTGCGTGGGAGGCGAAGAGGCTGGGCAAGAATTATAGGCTTATAAGTTAAGGTGTCGGCTGGGCACCTGTCTTCTGGCCTGTGGCAGCACAAGGCCAGGTCATTCTTTCTCCGGTTGGAGTGGAGGCTCACTTTGTCAGCCCACAGCCCAAAATAGCAAAGGACATCCCACACGGCTTTGTGCCACAGCAATGGCTCTCCAGCAGCAGCAAAAGTGCCAGCGTGAAGAGAAAATAGTGTCGATGCCAATGCACTTTGGGCACCACAGCTCCGTTGGTCTTGTAGCATGTGGGAGCGGAGCTCGACCACAAAGACTGCGGGTTCAGCGCCCAATAATAGTCGCCGAAACCACTGGGGTGTCGGGCCTGCCTTGTTCTGAGAGCCACATGGCTGCATTCCCCCAAAGGCAAGTGTTAAATGTTTGTTCTGCCATGCTTTTCCCTTACTACTGCAGGAGCTCACCTGCCCTCAGTTTTCCCTGGGACCGGGCCGGTCTGCTTCTTGCACACTTTTTCCAGTAGGTCCTGTTTCCATGTTATGCTCTGACTATGTTGTTTCTTTGCACCTAGTCACCTAGTCAGTTCTAGCGCGGCCACTTGTACAACTGCAATTTGTCCACAAGTATAGATTGGGCGGACGAGTGGATAAATAGGTAGACAGATAGGTAAAATCAATCAGATAGTAGAACGAACCATGTATTGTTGTGAAAAACACTTTGTTTGTACGAGTGACAAATTGAACACTATTGCTGTGACTTGGAAGCCCTATATAAATTGTCTGTCCCGTGTTAGAAAATTTGTTTGCTAAGTCTAGTACAAGTTTTGCTGTAGAACATGTTGTGCAAGTTTTGGTGCTGCCCACGATTGATAGGGCATTCTGCCTGTGGGTATAGAAGTTCAGATGAAAAACACAGTGAACAGGCATTGTTCCATCTGCCTTTACTGAGGATCCCCCACCTTCTTGGAGATCTGGCAGCAGCCGCCTTCGGCGGAGCTCCGGCCCCGGGAGCTGATTGGAGCCTGGCGCAGACCAAAGCGGGTCCTTCTAGGACGTTCCGAACAAGTGTCCATCTGATGCGCAACTAACGTTCTGTTGGGTTTCAGGTGGAGCGGTTGCTTTTTGTGCTTTGCAAGCATGACAAGCATCGCAGGTGCTGCACATCAAGATAGTGTACAATCGCATCGCGGACAATCATGATTACCGTTACCCTAAAACCCATTTAAGGGGAATATAGCTGCGCAGTGTTTTGTCGACAAGATCGCATTGCACACCAAAGCTGCGAAGTAACACTGCGTCGGAGTCGAGTATTGCAGCTGATGTTGCTCTACAATTCCACCTTTTTATAGGCGCAACTAAAGACTCACAAAACATATACAAACACAGGGACTCGACCGCACAAACGACCAGCAGCATGCGTACCGCAGCCTGGATATAAACGATTGACAACATCACAACGAGCAGCGATTTGTATGTGTGTGTGCGCATGTGCCATGTAGCCCTTGGCCTCGATAGTGCCTTGGTGCAATGCTTTTCGGTATAATGTCTTTTTCTAAATTTTCTATTGAGAGATGCAAGAACACCGCTCGCCACTCGCTTCAGCTTCTGAACAAATTGATGACGAAAAGAGTCCTTCAAGGTTGGAGATGTCTCGGGTCTGTTCATGAATTTTATGTCTCACATGTCCATCTCGTTAGCACCTGCAAAATTCTAGTGTTGAGACTGGGCAAGGAAGTCTCCATCTTACATCTTAGAAGAACAAGTGGCCGAACCCCTTGATCTGGGACACTCAGCATGTGCCTGCATCGTTTCAAAGGAAAGGTACGTGCGGGCTGTAGTCGTTCCATCTTCCCTTCAAGCGGAGAGGGTCAGGACATTGTGCTCCGATCCAGGCATCTATGAGTTGGCATCTGAACATTTGATAATTGCAACAAGAAGCTACTAGGGGCTCCTCGCATGCTACTAGGAGCAAGGACGCTACTAGGGGCTCCTGGCCGTACTAGGAGCAAGTAGCTACTATTCTCAACGGATTTCTTGTGTTCTTTTGCATAGAGGGAAGCGAGGGCAGCAAGCCCTCATGAATCGGGGGTCATCACTGAGAATGATATCTATCAGTTGAGATAACATGGTGTCCCAACTCCCAAAATTGATCTGTGGCCATCGGGTTCTTGAGCCCAAGCTTGTTTGAAGCCTAAGTACTCAACAAGTCGACATTGTGGGCCTTTGACAGCCCTTTGCAACTGAAAGCGATAAAACTCACCTCACGTCGAAGGGAATGATGGGCGATGACCAAACAATGCCATCCTCGTCACGATCCTGGCTGTTCCCCCGTTCATTGATGCCTCCTACAGAGCCACAGTAGACGATGAATACCTTAAGAGGACTGTTCAGGGACTTAATGAGGTCCGGTGAAGGTGGAACTTCGCGAACACGCAGGCATCAAAGTTATCCAGAATAATGTGATTCCAAGTAGAAAGAAATGAAAATTGCACGAAATCAACGGTTGAGTCTTGAAGTGCTTCGCTTGTGCTAGGCACGCCCTTGAGAGGTATGTTGACTATCACTATCCGATCCATCACGTTCTGAGGCAAAACAACCACCAGGCGCGCATGAGACAGCTTTACAACATGACAGCGTACTGCGTGATTGAATGCACCAGGTAGCTAGAACCTTTATATTAGGCGTGGTTTGATCTCAGAATCCTCTGAACAAGGTCCCCATCAAAACCTTTGTCCTCTGGTTTCAGGCGTGGCATGACAGAGAACACGGGAAAGCATGCCTAGCGAGGCAGCAGCTGCACAACCATGGTCATCAACATGAGGCAGGTGTTTCTTGCACACTGGTTGCAAAACGTTTGCACAGGATGAAAATCCACAGTACCTGAGAAGTGTCACTTTCCAATAAACTTTAAACTGTTGAAAGAACCAACGATCTGGCATGGAAGAAAAGTCACATAAACTCATGTGCATCATGAACATGTTGCATTCGCACTATTTATGTAGCACACCTTTAGCGGGCAACCTGATTTCCTGGCAACCGCACGCCTCTCCGATCTTGGTATTGGTCAGCTGCACAGCTGCCAGCCAGAAGTCATACTTGGTACTGCTGCTTACTGCCTAAAGCTGTACCCATTGATCAGTTTGGGATCCATGGGATCCCACGGTTCGACTCCAAAAGTTGTTCCATGTATATATATATATAGATACACAGTATGTGACATCACTCGGACTTTTGGACTGAGTCGCCGTCCACCTCGTTCGCCAGCAACCCCGCTTCAGTTTACCATGGCTGAACAAGCCGAAGCTTCTGTTCAGGAGGAAGCTTCGAGGACGAAGACTTGGATGTAGTCTTTTCAACAACCTCCGCATCCATCTCTTGAGCTGCCTCAAACATCTTCAAAATCAAGAAGTCCATCTCTTCGAAAAGCACCTCGATCCGGTTAGCCATGTCGAATTTCTCATAGCGCCCCTTACTAAGATTATGAGAGGTTTCGTTCTGCTCCCTAGGGATCCAGGTGAGGTCGAGGTCGACCTCGTACCGCTCCAGCTGCTTGGCCAGCTCCATCAAAACCAGTGAGACTGGGAACTTAGTGGACAGGAACTTGTCGATGAGGTAGGAATTAGACAGGTTGTCCGTGAGACCTGTGACCACAACACGTCCAGCGCCTCTTCTCCAATGTCCTTTCGGGCCGAAAACCATCAAGGCGACCGTGACCGCCAAAAGTTCAGAGCTGGCTATCGTCTTGAAGGGCTCGCCTTTCACAAAGAGGAATGGGGCGTTTCTGCGGTTGAGCTTTAAATGGAACCATCGAGCCTGGCGCGTGCTCACGTCCGAGAAAGACCAAGCATCTTCCCCTCCTTTGTGGCAGCCTCTATATACCCATCCCCTCAGCACTCAACTTACACCCAGCCGCCACCCGGTAAGGTCAACAGTATAGCCAATCCACTCCACCGAAGTGCCTCCCTGGGTCTTCTTCAGCAAGCCATCGGGAAGAGCGCGGTGAAAGGTCCGGAAAAGGGTCCCCCACCAAAATGCTGCGCGAGCCACTCCCACATTCTCCCCATCCAAGCGGCATGCTTGCAGCCCCCCCAGTCTTGTCGTTGGACGGGCACCAGGCGGCGTGCAGACTTAACGTCAAAGGCCACCAACAATCGGGGACCAATCGCTTCAGCCTTGAAGGCCCTCAGGACCGCCTCCACGTCGTCTTGCTGCGGGAAGACATCCTGTTAGGCTGTTAGGCTGACCCGCGCGTGAATTGACCTGCAACCCATGTGTCCCATCATAGACGACTCTCACATCCGACCATTCTTTGTCGGAGAAGGGAGGCTCCTTGAACCTTCCCATCAACAAGTCAACCATTAATTTCAGACGGTCCGTCTTCGTCAGGGAGTCGACTAGGCGCTCTCCTCAAAACAGCGAGCTCAGGCGCTTACCACGTCATCAACTGAAGGTCGGTGGCCGCAAGGTCAGAGCAGGTCCCCAAGCCATCTGCCATGCGCCTAGCTCTCCCCTTGTACCAAACTTGGTGAGAGGCCCAGGCTCTTGACCCTGTGCTCTGCCCTTCCTCTTTTCCATGATCATGCATCACCATGAACTTGTCCCGGGTCCGCCTCGGAGCTATTGGATGGTCCTGGAGCTTCTGCATCATGAGGGTCTCTCCCCATGCTTCGTCCTTTCTCTTCTGACCGACAAGGCGAACATGAGGGTGACCACAATGACATCGGGGCGGCAAAGGCCTGACATAATTACCACCTTTGGATAGTTTTGGGGGCCCATAGCCAAATCACGGCGCAGCCCCACGAGATGAAACAGCAATCTGGTGGGCTTGGGCGACGCTGCGCCGAAATGGCATTGATAAAGCGCTCCGGAGGAGACCGAGCCGTTTCTGAGCCATTGCTGAATCTCGCCCAACTGCCCAACCGACGCAGGACGAATCGAAGAGCCCCACCGGTGGACCGAACCCAAGTCTTCAGGATGTTCCCACACTAGCGGGATGGACAAGGAAATGGCCGCCTCCACCACCTGGACGCAGAGGCGTATCATAGCATTGCCAGAGGTCTGGGTCCTATAGGCTATTGGCCAAGGGGCTCGGCTCCATGTATTGCACGGGGGCGAAGGGAGGATCGCATGATAACGCCCAGCACTCTGAATTCTTGAGCTTCCGCCTCCACAGATGTGGGGGTTTTGGCGTCCCTAGTCACGAAGCCTGCCCCTGCGGCATGTCCGAGGGGTGTTCATATATTGGATGGTCCGGGGAAAGGCATACCTGACAGGCGCGAACTCTGTCGCAACCCCCGGAACATTGCTCGTGCTTGTTGTTGAAGGCAAAACAGATTTGGCGTCCATCTGGGGTATTTGGTCTTGCCTTCCCTGATATCCGCATTCTTCACAACTTGCTTCGTGGCGGTCACAAATTGCACCCCCTTGTTCGTCTTATCAGCCACCTCTTTACGCATCTGGTACTCGTAGTTGAGGATGAGCTTCAGCGATGGGCGATGAAGTGCAACTCCGTCCACTGTCATGGATTCCATCTGAGAAACATTCTTACTGCAGATGTATAGTTCAGGTATTCCATAGCGACAAAGGGGGAGACGTCCGTTGCGGGTACCTGAAGCGGGCGAAGATGAAGTGATTCACCATGAGCATCACCTTGCTGCGGAACTCCTCCATGTTCGATGGATTGGGTGTCTCCACCCTCGACTTCTTAATCTTCACCTGCCCAGATTTGCCTAGGTGAAGACTGCCCGTCTCGACCTCTCTCCTCCTCCTCCGCGCGCGAGCCAATCAAAGTGCCTCAACGCCATGCGCCTGAACTCCCCCGTCCAGTTGCTCGCAAACATATTCGAAAGAAGGCTTTCAGCGGCTTTCCTGGGCATTCGACGTCCTTCAACTTGTAGTATACCTCTTCTCGAACTCCACGCAGAGCTGCATCGGATCGTTTTGGGCACCTTATGGACTGCCACCTCCGCGTCATTCTCGTCTCTAGCCGCAAGCCTCTTGCAGGCACTCAGTTTGATGGCATCCAATGAAGCGACGTCAGCGTCGTAGAGCGCTGCCTGCGCCGACTTATCCACCCGCCTGGCCTCAAGGAGCCCCTGGAGATGTGGGGTCAAGGCTCCCGATCTTCTCATCCTCCGATAATCCGATCATGATCGGTCTACCCGCTCCGAGCCGAGCACTCCGGCTCTGTCCGCCCTCCCGGCTATATGAGCCAGGCCACCATGCAACACAGAATCACGACCGGCGGACGACGTCCAGCGAGGAACCCCGGGGCAGCGTCCGGTCTCTGTTGCTGGGGCATCCTCATAACAAACACACGCCTCAAACACGCAGATGTATCAGATATATCTGCTTGCGCCTTCCAGTAATTAATGCTGAAGACGCCGTCCTGCTTCGGGGGCATCGCCGAATGGCGCAAACCAGATGTATCAGATAGATCTGTGCTGCTCCGCGACTTCTTTAATAGTCCGATTGGCGCCAAAAGGAAGACCAGGAGGCCTCAACACCTGACCCACAACGGAACCCCGAATCTTGGAGGTCCCCGAACAAAGGAGGAGGCCAAGAAGTTCCACAACAGACGACCGAGTGCCTGCTCCATGTTTCCACCTCACCTTCATGGATCGTCAGGCCGATCCCTCCGGGTCACGATGAGGAGGATGCCGAAGACGTCACCACATCGCCTGATCGCCTTCCTTCAGCGGGTCCGCCATTTTTGCACGTGTGCCAAAGCACTGGCCACACAGGCGCTCGCCCTGATCAGGCTTCAACTCTGGCCGCTCCACGCCGATGCGACGCTTGGTCCTCCCCACCACTGAGAGCACGTGGGTGCCAAGCGGAAACTTCTCCCCGGTCGGCTCTGAGAAGATCTCCGTGGGGGACTGCAGAAAGGTGTCAGAAGAAGCTCCCCTCTGGGAGCCTCCACTCAAAGACAGGTTGCCTTCCAAGCCAAACGCCGCCCCATCCTTGATCTTGAAGTACTGCTGGAGCCAGATCGAGCACTGGAGCGATCATCCATGAGGTCCTGGACGCCATAGTTGTCCCTGGGCTTTGCCCCGATCAATGCCGGAGCCCTCGCGACCACCTTCTTCGATGCGGCGGCGTATAGCCCTCCTCCATACTCATAGTCGGTGACCACCTTCCCCAGCGCCTCCGTACGCACGACATGGCAGTCACCCTCTCTGAATGCTCAGTCCAGAAGGCGCTGGACGATGGGGTCACCAATGGCCTCGCCCTTCCAACATCATCCAGCCGCTGGGACGGAAGGTCCGTGTTCAATGCCCCATGGCGTCGGCGTAGCGGAGCATGCCCGTCGCAAAGCCCTGGAGGTTGTGGTTGGGTTTGCACATTAGGAAGTCCCTGTTCGCCGACTTCAAGTCCTTATTCATTGAATTGAACAGCTCCAAGCCCGTGCGCAACCACCTCGGCTGGAAGACATAGGCATCCACCGCCACGTACATCTGGACGACTTCCACCTTCTTGCAAGTCCTGTTGTTTGGGATCTCATGATGTCCCCAGTCAGGCCGACGCCCTCCTCAAAGACCAGCGTAGCCGGTCGTGTGATCGGAGAGCTGCCCAAACGAATTCACAAGCTTGTACCAGGCATAGACCCTCTTATACTTGGCGAGTCCGCGATCCATGACTGCGTATTCCCATGCCCAGGGGGACCCTCTGGGCTTTTGCCCTCTGGTGTGGCTTCCAGGACCCGCTGGCCTCGACCTCCATGAGGTCGTGTTGGATCGCCATCGACTGAGTCAACCTCTTATCCATTGGGATCTCCGCCGCACACTCAAAGAATGCCACCGCCTTGTAGATGCTCCCCGGGACCGACCTCCCACATGGTTCATGAAGCAGTTGATCGATGTACATCACCAGGTCGGCCTCCTCCCTCAACCTAAGTGTCCCCATAGATGCGCACCATGTCAATGTACTCGTGGATCCGCGCGCAGTACCTGACATGCTGTCTCAACGTCGATGCACGACGACCCATAGCAAACCGAGCGGCTAGGTACTGTACTGCACCCTGTCCTGACTCTGAGCTGCCAGTCGATCGGTGAAGCCTGCCTCACGCATGAGCTTGACCAGCTCCTTGATCCACCTCTGCCGCCTCCTCTGATCCTCCGTAGTGGCTGTGCGCACCATCTTGTGGAGGCATGTCTTCCACGAGACCCTTGGCAGAGTCCGCCGGTGGAATTCTTCTTCCCCCCAACTCGCCGACAGGTCCGGCAGGAGCTTCTTCACCTCGTCGACCGGCAACTCATGGAAAAAGGCCAAGCTGCCCTCGTCCCAGCCGAGGTCCTTCAGCCGGCCAACCGCGCCTGGCTCCGACATGGCTGCCGGAACCTGGCCCCAGCTACTCTTCGAGCCCTGGAACTGCGTTCGTGTCACATGTCGTCGACACGTTGTTTTCGTCTACATATAGTTGAGGAACTTCTGGCCTGGGAAACTACCTCAAGCAGCACAGCGACCTCTGAACTCAACTGCCTAAGGTCTGCTCTCCACACTACACCAGCCGCTGTCTGTGCTGCATTGCAAAAGAACCATGTGCTGAACAGGCTTCGTCAAGTTGCTACGAAGATCTCGTCGTTCGGCTGAACTTCTAAAGTGATGACCTGACAGCAAAGTCATCTGAAAGGCCCTTATTTCACACAGGTTGGCCACGGCCTGCCTGCAAGGGCCCCTGGACCCTGGCCGCGCGCCTCCTTAAAGCACCACTGCTCCTTCTCGCTGCTCCAGTCCCCGAGCTCCGTCTCCTGACGTGATTTATGTCATATACAGTAAGATGATGTAACATGACGGAGCCCTGGGACCTAGAAGTTACCTACTAGTAACTTCTTGTTACTAGTAGTAAGGCCAGGAGCCCCTAGTAGCGTCCTTGCTCCTAGTAGCGATGCCCTTTGTTACTAGTAGCGTCCTCTTGTTACTAGTAGTAATATGTGTGATCGGTTCACAAAGGGTGGATCTATGTGGATCCCATTGCAAGCACTCTGTAGGTGATGGCAAGTTCATGGATGCTGCGGGACAATCCCTCAGGCTCATCATCATGTTTCAAGCGCCCAAGAAACTGGGGCATGTTTGAGAAATGTGATTGATTGTAAAGGCATGATTTGCTTCATGCTCAAGAAGGACCTGATCAAGCATACACCTTTGATAATATCGCACACGCGGAGTCCAAAGCTACTGTATGCTGCCCGCCTAACAGTGTCTTGGAGACTTTCGTTGCACCATGGAAGGAAGGAGTGTCATCAACCAGCAAGTTGACCTATATATCTTCAACCCTTCACACCAGCAAGTTTCAGAAAAGGCATTGTCTGCAATCCTTTCAGGGAGGGATTGTAGAAACATAGTGCTCAATTAAACGAGCACGCTGAAGTAGTGTCTCTGTACTGGTTTCTCCCGTAAATAGATGATTGATCGACGCAATACTCTGCCTCTTGAACAAAGTCTACACGGTTGAGATGGTGGAGGTGGAGAGGCACAGCCTGAAGCAACTTGGTTGGCCTTGAGCTTGTCGTTGATGCGGATGCTCACATAGGGGCGTTGATCCTCAGGGCGAGCTCAACAAAGGGGGCAGGGCAGTGTTCTTACAAAGGCATGTAAAGACTTGCCAGTCTTGACAAAATTTGAGTACCTGCACTTTCAAGATTATTATAAATGATTTGATGGAAATGATGGCCCTGGTTGGACTTCACAGAAGTCAGGTACAAGGCGCCTGAACTAAACCGGGTCCGGCAATCGTCTCCACCGTCGCGCTATGGATGACAATGCTCAGCTTGAACCTCCACGACTTGAGGTCTAAAGATTTATAACGAACCAAAGACTTCAATTTCAAGAATGAATAAAGAGAAAGACCACAAAAATAGATTTATATAGGGCCCCCTGGAAGGGTCCTTCCCTTTCATTCATCTTTCATCTCTTTCTTATATATATATATATATTTCTGTTTGAAGTTGAACATGCAAACTTCCAGTTTATCGTATCCCCCCATGTATCTCTGATCATCAGCCAAAAACAACCTTAAATGAATGCAAATCCCCTGACAGGACTAATCTCGGGCTACGTCAACCCGCCACTTGGGCGCTGGGCTTGAACCATGAGGGATTTTTGTTTAATCTCAGCCCATTGGGCGCTTGGCTTCTCCCAAAGGCACGTGTTAATCAACCCGGAGAAAGTGTCATTGATTGACACAACTCATTGGTCTGACTACTAGCATTGATAAATCACATGTCAGGGCGACGGTCGAGCAGCGCCACTACCTTTACAGCTGGCCTCGGACATTGCTAGTGACTGCCAGCAACTGAATGGACACTTCCTTCTTCCTTCTACTATCCTATTGTTTTTTCATTGTGTCTTTCTCTTCTTTGCCCGCTCCTAAGGAGGGCCTACTTAATTAAGGAAGGGCGACTGGTTAGCTTCTAGCAACTGAACGCAAGATTGCTCACACACTAATGATTTGGTTTCTAGATTCTCAGGGAAACGATACTTTGTTCATCCTGCTTTGGAGTCTTCCCCATCAAATGTTTATCGAACAAAACAGTTGTTACTTCGAAGCGGATGAATCCGCTCGTCTCTTCTGTAACACCACAGGTCTCTGGTAGGCACAGGGTTGTACAACCAGCCAAATAGCTTTGAAGTTTGTCAGACCCTGAGGCAGGAAAGAATGTAGTAAAACAGCAAGAACTTTGATTAGGTTGAAGGTAACAATGATTTGGAAAGGTGAGCTACAAAGACCACAGGCAGTTCTTCGAAGGTCGAATAGTCTGTAAGCTCAGCAGGCATCTTGCGACCCAGGAGTGTAAGAATGTATTGGGCAATGTGGTATCTGTGTTTATGTGTCTTTGGATGTCGTAGTACATAACGTAATACTGTTGATGGACAAAATCCTGCACCACTGGACGGACAAACTCATGTATACCCTCGCGCTCCCTCTTTAACATTGAGTTGAGGAAATGCCTGAAACAGAAAAAAGTTGAATGACCAAAATCCTGCATCACACATAGCAAACATTGAGACAACTTTGAGTTGGGGGGCACGGGGGTCTGTACTATTGGAGGAGGTCTGTACTATTGGAGGACCTCATGTGTTGCTTTATCGATGCAGGAATTCGTCCATCAACCATATAATACAATAACATCTTTTTTTACATATCTGTATAGGTACAGACAGATAGATGGATAGATAGATAGATTAGATAGATAGACAGACATCTATATAGCTGTCTCTATGTCCATTCTGTGCCGTCTACGTCTACGTCAGCAAGCCGCCTTTATCATGCAATACCCCCACGCGTTGTTTCGTGTAGATCAGGAAGGGTCTCCAACACTCGAATCGACTTTGCGAAGGAAGCCCTTCAGGGGCCGCCACAGCACAGGGAAAGGATCCACATTGAGCTCTACAGGCATAGCCTGCCTAAGTTCGGAAAGCTTGGAGGAAGCTTGGTTCGCATTTACTTGCTCTGAGTTGCAAAACCTCACATAGGAGATTCCATCACATCTAAACCTCTCCACTAGGCAGCTCAAAAAGCTTTTCTCTTTGAGAGTTGCAGGCACGACGAAACTTCCGACATCTATTGTGAGGCGTTTATGCCTAGCCTGCTGAGCAGTTCTACACTTTCCCCAGCCAGTGCTGGCCTTCACAAGGAGAAGTTGTACAACTGGGTGAAACGCCCATATCAGGCCCTCCCACTCATGTCAGCTTCCATTGCTGATCTGCCGGTTCGAACGTAGCGGCAAGTGCAAAAGCAAATAAACATAATGATGATCACCACAAAACATGCTACCCCAATGGTAGCGATGAGTGCGCTATCCACATCATCCATCTTCTCAACGCTGTCGAAGTTTGAGGTTTCCAAGCTGGAAATGCACGGCCACTCATTCGTCGGCCATGCCCAACGCTTGGAAGGCTCCGAGCCGTTTCTTGCACAGCCAAGGTTACAAGGCATCTGCAGCTCCAACGCAGCACACCCGCCAAGTTCTCCACATCCTGCTTCTCGAAAGCATCGCACCATGCATCGAGTAGTCAAACACAGGCAAAGGTCATGTCTTGTGACATTCCTAACAAAGCGCTCCCGGCAGTAGTCCATATAGTTCAGGTTGGTCACTCCACATGTACAGTTGGAAAGACATTCAGAGTATGCTAACCACTCTGGGCTTTGTTGGGTGCATGCCGCCATCGCAGCCTGCCAAGATGTGCTTCCAAGCTACGGCCTGTCAGTCCCTTTTGGGTGCTTGAGCCAGCTGAAGCAATGTCTCTTCAAGCATGGAAAGGGCAACATCATGTAGATTGTGCTTTTATAGAAGTTACGATCTAATGAACAGATTGACACTGTTATATGATTTGTCCTACTTCAAGGCTCGAACACCAAAAGAGATGAGCAACGCTATCATTCCTTAAGTCCAAAAAAAATTGTGCAAAAAAAAAGAACTTCTAAGAGGGTCGAAATCTGCCACTGGTAAAACTCCAACATGATGCATGTGAGAAACTGGAGTCCCGCACGATGAAGCCTATGGCGGACTGCCACATCCTCAGATGCAGGCAAGGAAAAGAAAAACAGGGGGTTGCAGCGGCAAATGCAATTGATTTGGATCACTGAAACCGTTTGCTCGATGGACTCGATCGGCTTGGTGTCTGCAAGCTGATGAAATCTGCCAGGGCACCCTTTTTGTGGCATTGACAACTGTTGCAACCCTTGTGATGGAGGAATGAATTTTGAAGGAATAGAGGATCACTTGGGATCATTCAATCCTGTCGCCTCACAATGCTGAGACTCCTGGCTCAAGTGCAAAGCATTCGTGAAGCCACAGCCCACGCTTGAATAAGGTCTTTTTCGTTTGTCAGTACTCTTGTGATCAAGCAGTGCAAAAATTGTGTTTATCTCAAAAAAACTCTTTACAATATCTTCCTGTTGAAGAATTGATCCAACGGCTTCTATGGCGCAGCACTTGTCCTTTTTGAATTGAATTCTGAGCCAAAAATGTGGTGGGTATACTTGCATAAAGAGGGCAAACAAAAACATAACAAACATGTGCTGACGTGTATCTGATTCGCATCCCGCGGCTGAAACTGAAACTGAAATTGACTGAAAGTTGTTCTTCTCAATGCTTCGTGCATCTTTGGGCTTTTGGGCCCAGAGATTGACCTTTGGAGCTGGCTGATTGGCCAACGAATCCTAGTTGACCGAGCCCACAAGTATCTGATCTGGACTGAACCGTCTGAACTCCCAATTGGAGTGTTTTTGGGATGTTAGAAATCCGAAAATATTTGTCGCTTCCAACCCTGCTTGCAGGCATCGATATTCATGGTGGCATATTGTGTATGTGACAGTGCGTCTGAAGAAAGAAGCAAGTCTTTTGCTTCACAAGGTATCGTATGTACAGTATGTATATTATACAGTATATACTATACGGAGACACTTATTATCTGTGGTTCAGAGAAATGAACCTGTGAATCATCCAAGCAGCCAAGTGGCAAACGTTCAGCCAATCATTCAGGCCCAAATGAATTGAGGCAGCTAAACTACCCCCTACTCCCTAGCAAAAGAAGCTTGTGGGAGTAGGGGATACATATAGCCTTACTTCCTTGGCCGGTATGACATGTCAAAGCAACTAATGCTGGAAATGCATCAACAAAAAGGCCCAGTTGGGGAATGACACAGCAAGTCAATATGCAAAAAGAGTTCCTCAATTCAGGGTCTCCTCATCTTTGGCATCCTTGATTTTTCAGCATCTGTCATCAGGCCAGAAGCAGGCAAAAGCTTAATTTCAGCAAGAACTCTCCGAAACGTCCCCTTGCGTTCAAGACTGTCAGGAACTTACTCATAGCACCCATCACACTACAGTACAGGATCTGTTCTCGAAGGGGATTTGCACAGGTGCAGAGGTTCCTAGCGAAGCCATGACGATCTTCACAATGTCCAACAGGCGGATCTCACCTGTGAGACGTTGATACCCTTCAACAAAAAGAATAAGTAGCAAAGCAGCAGACGAGAGAAGTGCAGAAGAAAAAATATATATATTGTATATAGTATTATAGTTTCTTGGTGCAAGTCAAGAAAGGCCAAGCTATATAGGCATCGAATCAACATCAAACACAAACAGAATCGAGGAGGATGAACCTTTGAAAGACACACACTCACACTCACGTACAAAGCAGGGCACAACAATATCAAGTGAAGAGGCATGTCAGTATGGTGGGACTCAACAAGAAGTACCAATGTCAAGGTAAGCTGGGAACCGTAGTCAGACTCCTCAAGTTGCAGAGATGTTGAAGCACGATGAAGAAACAGTAAGGAACAGTCAGTGATTGGAGGGAGATACTGAAGATTCATTCATGTCTCAAAATGATTTCAATAAAATAATACGTAATAACAGGTTTCCTCCTCTGGCTTCCGATTCCTAACCAGCCAGAATGTCTTTGTTCCAAGAACAGCAGCTCATGTGCTATGCTAGGTCGACTCTGGGCCTGGCGGCTACCTCATCGCTCTTGCCGAAAAGAGTGGCCTCACTCCCCGCTCCACGCACAGGGATGAGAAACTCGAATCAAATGGACAGAAACTTGGCAGCTTAATTGTTTCCAATCTCAGCTTCTAGCTACTAGTAGCAATGCTCTTGTTACTAGCGATGCCCTTGTCACTAGTAACTAGTAGCCTAATTGTTTCACATAGGTGCTTAATTGTTTCCTTCTAGAATGATTCACACACGTGTCACACGTGTCACGCCCCCAGATCTCCTCGGTGTGGCCATAGCCGTCTCTCGGATCTGTCGACCCAATACCTGAAAGCTTCAAAGAACCATCACGTGGGAGCTGGTGTGGGAGCTCCACAAGACTGTTTTGCAAAAGATTTTGTTCTTTAGACCTTTTGTCCAAACATGTTGTTCTTTAGACCTTCTTTTGAGACCTTCTTTGGGTGTGCTTTTCAAAGTGCTCTCTCAACCTCTTTTCAAAACATGTGTTCTTTATTCCTTATTTTGTAGGCATTGTTTCTTTAGAACCACGTTCAAGACGTTAAAATGTGTTTTGTCTTTAGGCCCTTGTTGGACCGTTTTTTGGCGACATGTTTCTGATTTGGTCTGATTTCGTTCGCTACTAAGCGAGGGGCTCGGAATTATGATTTAATCTTCTTCAAGCTCCCCTGCTCTAAATGTATCGTCGGGTGGCCCCACGTTGTAATGGCCCCTCCCACTTCTAAGATTTACCCCCAGGCGGCCTACACAAAGCCCGGTGTTGCAATCAGTGCTTCCCTCCTGCTCTAAACTGTGGCCTACAAAAAGTGTGCCACGTTGGAATGGCTCCTTCCATCAAAAGAGAAACAAACGCCAACAAAAACAACAGCACAACACAAGAAATCAAGAGAATTGTGCCACAATAATATCCAAAGAGTAATAAGAAAAAAAAGAAAACAGAAGGGGTGGCCATGGGGCCTGGGCTTTTGTTTTCTATAAATTTTAGGTAAATGCTTGAGATAATTGCATTGGTGCCACAGTCACGACTAAAAAACACTCATAAATATGCATAAAGGATCAAAAACACATAAGAAAACACAAAAAAAACTTAGGAAACCAAAAAAACAAAAAAAACAATTCTCAGAGACTCTTGTCTAGACCCCTCAAAATAAAAAACAAAAAACAAAAAAACTTGAGAAAAAAAACAAAAAACACAGTTCTCAGAGACTCTTGTCTGGACCCTCTTGTCCTCAAGACTTCCCCAGAATTGTTTTTTTTTCCCGAATGCGTAGCGAAGGGTTCTCGTTTAACTCTTGGGGGTCTGGGGGTAGAGCCTTGTTCGCGACCCGTTGCTTCTATGTTCGCAACCGTCCGCAACCGTTCGCAACCGTCCGCAACCGTTCGCAACCGTCCGCAACCGTCCGCAGTAGGACGCTAAGGCGCTGCCATTGGGGGAAGCTTTTGCAAGTGACTTTTCATGGATGTGTCACGTGTGAGGTTGCGACGCGAGTCCATTGTGATTTGCGTGAAAAACACATGTCGCGCAAGAAGCGGGATGCATTTCGCTGCACAGGCGCAGCGTTTCGTGAGATCCGCAGTTTGCGTCGCAGTTCCATTGGGATTAGCGTTTGGAGAGTCGTGTGTTTGGGGTGTTGGATGTGGCTGTGCCATTGGGATTTGCGTTTCAGGGTGTGGCATCGAAGCTCTGTTTTCGTGACAAGTCTCAGCTGAAATGCCGATTTTGGTGGATGGGAGTGTGCAATCCAAGGGTCGAAATCATTCCAAACGTGTGGTGTGGTGCAAGTTTTGTTGAAGCTCACATGAGATGACATTGTTACTTTTCGTGGCAGGCGCAGGACTTTGTGCGGGTTTTGAGGTGTGGAAGTGGGATTTTCGTGGCAGGCGCAGGGAATCGTGAGGTTGCGATGTGTGACGGAGGTGACATTTCGTGGCAGGCGCAGTACTTTGCGCGCGTTAGACGTGTGGACGCGGAAAGATTCGTGGCAGGCGCAGGGAATCGGGAGGTTGTGAGTTGTGGTAGAGGTGAATGTCGCTTTGGGATTGGCGTTTGAGCGGGTGTCGTTTGGAGGGGCTGGAATCGCGAAACTGCTTGGCAGGGCTGCGTGATGTGTGTGCTCCGATGGATGTATCCGCTGGACTTTTGGAGGAAGTCTCGTGCGAAACGTTCGTTTTGCAGACTTTGATATGTGAGTTTTTGAGGTCTCGTACGAAACGCTCGTTTTGGGGGCTTGACATGTGACTTTTGGAGAAAGTCTCGTACGAAACGCTCGTTTTGGAGACTTGACGTGTGACTTTTGGAGGAAGTCTCGTACGAAACGCTCGTTTTTGAGACTCAGAGTGTCCGACAAGAGTGTCCCACAAGAGCTTCCTACAACAGTGTCCCACAAGAGTGTCCCACCAGAGTGTCCTACAGGAGTATCCCACAAGAGTGTCCTACAAGAGTGTCCCACAAGAGTGTCCCGTGTGAGTGTCCCACAAGAGTGTCCCACAAGAGCTTCCTACAACAGTGTCCCACAAGAGTGTCCCACAAGAGTGTCCTACAGGAGTATCCCACAAGAGTGTCCTACAAGAGTGTCCCACAAGAGTGTCCCACAAGTGTGTCCCACAAGAGTGTCCGACAAGAGTGTCCCATAAGAGTGTCCCACAAGTGTGTCTCACAAGAGTGTCCCTTAAGAGTGTCCCGCAAAAGAGTGTCCCGCAACAGTGTCCCACAAGAGTATCCCACAAGAGTGTCCCACAAGAGTGCCCCACAAGAGTGTCCCACAAGAGTGTCCTACAAGAGTGTCCCACAAGAGTTTCCTACTAGAGTGTCCCACAAGAGTGTCCCACAAGAGTGTCCCACAAGAGTGTCCCGTAAGAGTGTCCCACAAGAGTTTCCCACAAGAGTGTCCTACAGGAGTATCCCACAAAAGTGTCCTACAAGAGTGTCCCACAAGAGT